AACTAAACAAAAACACATTTATTATTCATAATTATTTTTTATCACCCTCCAACTATGCTACAGATACCTCACTTTTAGAAAAAAACTTCCTTGTTTAATCAAATTTGAGTACATATTGATTAAGTTGAGGTTTATTGCGAAATAAGTTGAGATTTATCTCAGATTATATAAAAAAAAAATAAGGTGATTAGATATCGTGTCACCTAAAAGTACCCGTGTTTTCATCAAAAATGAATTCAATAAATTATTGCAAAAAAATTAATTTATCTTTTTTTCATTACCTAGGATGTATTATAAAAACATAACTGCATAAATACAATTTTTTTTTTTTAAGTGAAAAATAATGATTTTTCAAATATTTATCATCTAAAGCGATAATGAAACTGTTACCACAGTTTTTGAGTTTTTAAAATCATTATTTAACATTTTTTTATAAATAAGCAGTTTGTTTATGGATTTATGCTTATTATAAATCATCCCAGATAAATGAAAAAGAAAAAAAAAATAATGCTTTGCTTTTTTATTGTAGTCATTATTGCTAAAAACATGGGTGAGTACTTTTAAGTGACAGAATTTCAAATTATTTCATCTTTTACATAACTTGAGGTGAATCTCAACTTATTTCGTAATAAACCTTTAACTTAGTTGATAAGGACTTAAAGAATATATTAAACAAGGAAGGTTTTCTAAAAGTAGAGTATTTGAATTATAGTTGGAGAGTAATAAATAAAGTCACGAATAATTCATTTTTTTTTTTTAAATAGAACTTAGCTTCGTTTAAACACTCAAAAATCCTTTTTAAGTAGTTTTATTAATGACAAACTCTAATTTCGATTGAACTAAATTTTGTCAAGTTTACTGTGAAGTAATTGGTAGTTACTTAAATTAAATATTTTTTTAGTTATCGATTTCTGTTCAACAAAAAAAGTGACTTACCAAAACAAAAAATCTTAAATTCCCTAAATTTTCTGTGGAAAATTGGGCCACTGTTTATGTGAATTGTTTTGTAGTTCTTTATGTCTAATTATCACCCTTTTGAATATTTCCCTCTACTAACGGGACATCCTGTATATAAATACATACTTATAAATGGTGGGCTGTCTTATTTCTTTTTTGTTGTATAGATGCATAATCCTATTCCTTTTAGGTGGTGCAGAATTAGTCATAACCTGTGGCTACCATAATACTGTCACTCCTACCTCAGTTGACAAAACTAGTGCAGGTCCCTTTTTAAAGTCATGCGATAATGTCATTATATGACATTTATTTAACATGTAAAATATAAATAAATATATATAATGATAATACCTTAAAATAAATTTTGCTAAAAATCCTCTTTACAATAACAGGAGCAATATGGGATCATAGTACTAACACAAAAAGAAGAAAGAACTGCATACAGAAACTGGTCAGTCAATAACAAATGATATGAAGGCATGGAGGTTAAGATGAGCGGGGCATGGAGATCTAAGCAATCCATCTGGAAGGCTCTACAAGGCAATAAATGCCTCGATAGTAGGCCAAAGAAGACGTGGAAGGACAAAAAGCAAATGGATAGATCGAATCAACAAAGATGCGATAGAGCTGTATGCAGATTACTGGAAAGAAATAGCCCAAGATAGCAGAGATGGAATATCCTTTTTCAGGTGGCAAAAGATCGACAAGGTCTGTAATGCCAACAGAAAAAAAAAAATGGTAATACCATTACTTGAATAAATATATATATATAATGTAAGTAAATAATTTGCTTAGATTGAGGTAAGATAAATTAGACTATTTGGTTTACCTACTAAGGGTCAGTCAGAGGAAGGGGAATCTCCACCCACTATTTATCTTTCATTGCAAAGCCTTTGTGTGCAAAGGTAACAATTTAAATTTAAATAAAATAAAATGAAAGAAAAAAATCAACCAAACCCTTAATATGGTTAAAGCTATCCCGACAATCGAAGCTAAAGTTGAAAATCTTTGAACTTAAATCATTAAGCAAATAGAAAATATCAAAGAGGAGATTTCTTATTTTAAAAATGCCTATACCAAAAAAGATAAGATCTAGTAATCACTGAATTACAAGCACATAATAGCTATGACACCATATCAGCTCCATTGAATAAATTCACCTTCTTAGAATTAGATGTTAGGAAATATGATATTATAGATTAGTCAGAAACAATGACATGGTGATTCTTAAATTCAGTTTTAATTAGCAATTATGTATTAAGAGAAAAACATAAACTGAATGAACATGAAATATTTAAGAATAATGAAATTAAAGATTTTTCACTCGTATTAAGGAAAATACAGAGAGAATTATATCGATTTATGTTACAAAAATTGAAAAAGGGCATACAATTATTATGAAATATGACAAATTATTGATCGACAGCAATTCATATACATTAGAAGAATTAATTAAGATTAAGTAATCAAACTTAAAACATCAAATAAAATGTTGATTTTTATACACATGTGAATATTAAGTATAAAACAAAATATAAAATTTCTGTATACACATTTTTCATATTGTATGTACATGTATATGTATATTATTATTAGATAAAAGTTTTATGTTATAGGATAGCCATTGGATATGACTAATCATTCACCACCTAAAAATTAAAGGATTAGTTTTGTCATTACAGTGCATCTTTGCAACAAAAAAGAAATAATTGCCAACCATGTTTATGTAAATATATAGTATATATGTCTTAGGATAACCACTGGAAGTGACTAATTGTGACACCACCTAAATGAACAGTAGTAGTTGAATCACCACAGTGAACCTATACAACATAGAAGAAATTGCAGCCAATCATGTGTTTACATGACAGGCAACTTTGCCTCTGAGAACTGACCATAGACCTGTTAATGTGGTGGCTGTATATTGGGCTTTGAGGAATGAAATGCCTACTCTGGCATAGAATATTTATTGCAGAATGCAAAATCATGGTAAACCAACCAGATTTCAAGAGAAAGAAATATATGAACACCACATATTCTCTGTGTTGAACATTTTAGAGAGAGAGCCAAAGAACACAAAATCCATACCTATCATTTATGTAATGATTTAAACATCATCAGGAACAAACTCTACTAAGATACGTATGACCAAGAAATATCAGACAAGCTGTGTCTGATAAAGGCTATTATGAAGGAACCACAAAGCATGTCAGAGTTCATGGGGAACATTTCTGCTTACTTTAATGAGTATAAAAAAGGAGGAATTTTGTATGTAGGCATGTAGGAATTTTGTATACATATTATTTATTTTCACCCTGGTGATTTTGTATGAAAATAATGAATTCAGATAAAAGAAAGGGACCTCAAAAAGTTTGGAATGATGAAGTATTTCCAGCTTTTACAAATCATATTAATATTCTCAGTAGCTGCTCATACAAAGGGAGTATTCTTTGGGATAAAATGAGATGCACTAGTGTAGGACTGATGGTGACAGAGTACGAAACCAAATACAACAGTACAGAGTTTCAAGCACCTGTCTTCCACTAATAGATATCACTACCAGCCACTGATATAAGATCTATCTAAGAAATTCATAACTGGAGGGTAACTATAGTTAACAGAAAAACCGGTGGACCAAATTGAAAGAGACTGAATTGAGAATAAGAAATTTTTTTTATTTATTCTTTTTTTAAAAATTATCTTAAACTATAAAATAACTAAATTTTTAAATTGTTTAATTTATTTCAACAAAAATTTACCCTTTAAATAATTAATTAAGAAAATTTTTCTTGAACAGAGACAAAAACGTTACTGTTAGCAAAATTAGGTTTTGACTAAGGAATGACACTATGTACACAAAGATAGACCCATACAAGGAGTTTACCCAGTTAGGAAAGTATAAAATATATGATATCCTTATGGAATTTCTAAAATCACCATTTATCATAAACTAAGAAAAAAGAACATTTTTTGAAATATTAGTGAAAAAAGTTTAAAAATGCATTCAATTTTATTTTTTATTATTTTCTTCATATTTTAGTTATTTTTATTGAATATATTTTATAAAACATGTGTTTTATTTTGTTCTTAAGAATAAGGTTTGGTTCCATCAGTTAAAACCAAAACCAAATTGATCCCTGAGCCTAAGTAAATAGTTAAAATTTCAATAATAGTTTATTAAAAAATTAATCATCAATAAAAATAAAATGATGAACTTGATTAGATTACTTAAATATCTGGGGCTAAAATTCAAGTTATGATTAATGAAGTTTGAAACATTGTACCATTCAAATAAAATATTTAGAAAATAATCATGAACTATTTATTTGAACTTTTTTTTTTCAAATTGTAATTCATGAAAAAAATACTGGGTTGATTTTTATTAGTTTCTTTTATAATAAAAAAACTGAGCACTAACAAAAGATGTCAAAATTATAAAAATATAGCTTACTTTAACTACAAAATAAATATATTAAAAAGTGATTTCTTATTATATTGAATTTCCTGTTATAATTTAAATATAAGTGAAAAATATAACTTAGTTTCTTTGTATGAACTTAAATTCATATTATTAATAGTTTATAAAATATTGCAGTCAAACTTATTTTAAAATAATTTGAAGTCAATCATAAAGTTCATCTGTAGTACCAACTTACCTCCAAATTACAATTTAGCTGGGTGTCATATTGAATAAATAAAACCTTAGATGATATCATTTCTGTCAAAAAGTCATATAAATAAATTGTGAAGAGTCTATGGTAGTAATTATTAAAATTAATGTTTTAGTTCGTTAAATTAATTAAATTTAATTATTTTTTAAAATAAAATCATTCCATGAAATCCAATTTAGCTCCCATTCTTTGTAATGCAATTATTGTGTTTACAGCTTTTATCCACCTTTTCTTAATTACATAGCGCTTGAGTCTTGTTTTATCTAAAGCAGTTTCACAAGCAGCATTCTTTAACCAGTTATGCCCCATTGCTTCCATAGCAGTCAGTCTTTTTCTAAAATAAAGTGATATTTGTAAAACAGAAAAGAATAATTAAAAGATAAAAGATTTATTTATTATTTACCATAAATACATAATTACAATAAATCAAATTAACGACCATAAAATATACAAGTATATGTTCTTTTCAAAGTATATAAATAATTTGACAATAAGAAATAATGAATATTATGATTACATTACTGTAAATCGCTATTGACCACAGCCAAGAATCTTTAGAATTAATTATTATTACTTTTAAGGAATTAACAAATCTTGATACAAAAATCACATAAAACAATGTGGTAATTATTACCTAACTTGGAAAATTAGACTTTTTTGCCTTATTCAATTGTTCATTTTGCTTATCTGTTGTTGCAGAAGTACCCCCTTCTGATATTTGCCTAATGTGCTCTGTTTCAACACAATGACTTGGAATATCAACTTCAGTTTTTATATTTCTTCTATCAGGTGATAGTCGTGGACTTCCAGGGGCTGAATGTGAATCATTTCTATCAAGGCTAGATGCCATGTTTAAATAATAGGCTATGTTGCTGGGAGGTGGGGGAGATCCTATTGGGACATCTCTGTTCAAATTTGAAAATTTATACTTAGGACGTGGGTGAGTTATACCATGATTCTCAAGGAAACATGTGATTGGGTCATTCCGAGTTCGAGGATTTGGACTACTTGTGGAATAATTCCCAATATTTTGATTTTGACTTGAGGACATTTGTAATAACCTTGCAGACAATTTTCTAATCTCGTCAGCCAAATTTAAACTAGCTGAATCATCTTTACTGTGCAAAAAACATGAGAAGTCTGAAGACCTCCTTTCATTCCTTTCTGATAATGGTGTGTTTAAGTTTATATTGTTCAATTCACTAAACCATGGTGGATTTGATCTGAGATGTTGTTTAAAAGGAAGATGTTCTCCTTCTTTTAATTTTGACTCTTCTTTATGGCATTCAAGTTGGTTTAATGATTCTATGTTTTCATTTTCCATTAACCGGAATGAACTTCTACGTATATTGTTCGAAAATTCACCGGGATCAAACATTTTTATTGATTCTTCCTCTGGATAATTATTCAATAATATTTTAATATTGTCTTTTTTATTTTGAAGTAAGGAAGCATTTGAGGACATAGCACTGAAGTTACATGAATTTTTAGATATAATGTTGTCCCCTGACCTTTTCAAAAATGGTTCAATCTTTGGTTCTTCATGAATTTGCCGGATTTTATTTATTAGGCTTCCTTCAATTTTATTCTGAACCTTTAAAGTACTTGTACTTTGCTTGGCTTCAGTGCAAGTCAATCCCAAATTGCTGGTTATATTTACTTTACTGTTCTTTGAATCAATATTTTCTTTTACCACTTCTGTTTTAAATAGTTTGGATAATTTATTTTCAACTGTTGAAATATCAACATTAAAGCTGCTATTTTTGGAATCATTGTTTTCTAATGGGTCAATAGTTTTTATTGAATTGTTTTTAATCGGAGATTTTTCAAGCAAAGGAGTTTTCATCTCACCAAAATGATGCAAAATTTGATTAGATTCTTCCTGGGTTTTCTTTAAATCCTTAGTACTTGCTATCATTTCGTTTTTGGTGAATGTGTTATTAGAAAACTGATTTAATACATTTGGATTTTTTACCAAAGAAGTAATAGATAAGTTTTTGTTTTTAGTTGTAAGTTCAGGAATATTTTTCGAAATCATTCCTTCTTCAAGATTATTACTTGCAGGTTCATTTTCTTTGAAAGATAAATTTTGAATGGATTTCACAAACTGTGAACTGTTCTTTTTACTTTCAAAGTGCTCTTGTACTTTGGGACTGGTTAAAGAGCTTGAAATAATTTGGGGACAGACAACTTTCTGGTTATTTTCAGTGTCTTTTTGTATAACCTGATGGTTTGAATTCAAATCATTCTCAATAATGATATTGTTCTTTATTATTGAAATAGGCTTGTCAACATAAATCTTTAAGTTTTCCTTTGAACTTTCTAGAAGTGGTGGTGGAGGTGGTATCTTTCTTCGAAGCCAAGGATGAGACAAACACTCGCCAGCTGTTAACCGAGCCCTGAAAATATGACAAAGACCCCTGTTAGCAAGCAAGCAAAACCAAACACTTAGTTTAAAAAGAAAAGTTGTAAGAAGTATTTTAAGGCATGTTAATAAGAAGTTAAAATAAAGTTAGTGAGGAATTAATTTCCTATTAAATTCAAAACTTCCTTTCCATTAACCCATTATTGACCAGGAACAACCTATGTTCCATAATATTTAAAAAAAAATATCTGTAGCTAGAATTTGATTTATTGCCAATAAAATGTATTGTCAATTTGTAAAGGCATCTCTCAGGTATAAATGGTTATTAAATTGGTTATTCGAATATCTAATTTCATACTGGTACAAAGGGTAGTTCAGTATTTTACAAAATAGAAGCACAATTATGAAAAAATCTAAAAAAGTTCTGGGCACTAATGGGTTAAAAGAATTATTATTCTATAGATTTTTTTTTCAATTTATGATATAATAAAAACATAATAAAGTTTTTTAGTTGCCTCTCACATAATTAAAACAAAAAAATTGTCATAATAAAAAGTCTCATCATGATGATAATGCCAACAAAGTTATTTATGAAGATTCAAACTAAATAAATTAGGATTATTAATTTTGTTTATTTCAATGCTTATTAAATTAATATATATATATATCTATCAATGAAAATTAAAAAAGATATATGATTACTTCATTTCAAAAAGTGTTAAATAATAATACAAAAAAATCATAAGTATATAAAATACGGCTTTGGTGGTAAATAGTTTGATCCTTTCGTAAAAGTATTGATAGTAGTGCTGTTTTTTAATTGTATTTAATTCCAATTAGTACAGCACCTTGAAATTGACTCGTCAATCTTTTGGTTAAATGTTTGCTAATTTTACTAATTAAAACTTTAATGATTTGTAATTATTTAAAAAATAAAATAATTGTTAATTTTTTTGTAATCAATGTGAAATGAAATAATAATAATTAGTGTATTCAAACCTCTTTTAAATATGTAATTTTTTTTCTGCTGACAATGAGTAATAAAGTTTATAATTAAAAAAGGTTTTCACATTATAATGCAGTGTACTTAAATACTCGCATACCCAATTAATTATTTAATTTTATAATAGCATTATTAAGAATTTTATGTATATATAAATTTCTCTTGCACTTTCTTCGTTGTTTTCTATTTACACAAACACACACACACACAAATGGCATTAACTTAGATGTCAGACTTTTTCTGTGAGGTTCCTCCATATTATCAACAAACCCAATCCAACAGTTTTTTTTTTATTGTAAATTAAAAAGTTTTGACTTTTAATTTATGGAAGACTTATAAGAGCTCCTATCCAAACAAAAACTTGAATTAACCCTAATTTTTTTTTTAAAAACATTTTACAGATTCAGTAAGTAAACTATAACATCAGATAGAAATAAACCATTATAACTGAGAGTGCACTCGAACGAATGAAAACAGTATGAAATACAAAGAACCAACCATATACTAATTATTCAAATAATTTCCATTTAAATGACATTCAGTGCTTACAAATTACATAACCCATTTCTAAGTATTATTTTGATTTAACATAACATAAAATTTACATTTTAATTTATCTTCTTTTCCAATAATGCACTAGGTCTGATAATTAATTTTTTTTTCTTTGATATTTACAACTGTATTATAAAAAAAAATTACAACTAGTGAATGTGCACTCAGGAATATAATAACATGAATTTTTTTGTAGAGCAATTACTCACTGATAGCACTCAAATAATAAATTTACACAAGAAAATCACGAGGCCAACTTCTTTTCAGACGCCTCGGAGCGTTATCAGAGATCGAGGAGGAAGCAAGGTTTGAAACGAGAGGGTTCGGATGGTTCTGCAGTTTGTTATGGAAGCATAGGTATCTGGATTGGGCCAAATCGGAAACATATGGAACAATAAGGTCGTTATGGATGATTTTATTTGTGACAAAGTAAGGAGAGTTAAGGATTTTACGAAAGATTTTGGATTGTAAGGATTGGATACGAGTGAAATTCGATGGTTTAGTGGAGCCCCAAAGCGCAATTCCGTAAGTCAAAATAGGTTTTATTATTGCCATATATATGAGTCGTTCGTAATTGATTGAAAGCTTAGAGCGTTTGTCTAGTAAGTGTTGGAGTAGACGGAAACGTCGGACGGTTTCTTGTCGTTTCAGTCTTGTATGAGGATTCCATGTGAGTCGTTTGTCCAGGTGGAGTCCTAGGTAAAGGATTTGTTCAACCGGGATAAGTGGGGAATTGTTAAAAGATACTGTATGATAGAAGGTCATAGGTTTGCGAAGCAGGGTAAAGGTAATTTGATGGGATTTATTTTAATTCTCCAGTTTTTAAAGCATTCTTCAAGGTTTGTGATATGTGATTGGAGAGTTTGGGATGCAGTTGATGGATCATTATTAACAGATAGGATACATGTGTCATCAGCATACGTGGTGATGACAGTGTCAGGATGGGTTGGGATGTCAGCTGTATGAACTGTGTAAAGGATAGGACCAAGGATACTACCTTAAGGAACACCAGCAGACTTGGGTAAAAAGGGATGAATAAGAGTTTTTTTTTTATTTACTTTAAAGCACCTATCAATAAGGTAGGAGCGGATAATGAGGAAGTAGGTGATAGGAATTTACGGATTTTGTACATCAGTCCCGGGTGCCAGACCCTATCAAACGCCTGTTCAACGTCGAAAAAGACTTCCGTGCAGTACAATCCGCGCTCCAATGCAGAGGAGACTACGTCCACCACACGATGACATTACTGGAATGGGATGTGCGGAATCCAAATTGGTGGTCTGGGATTATATGATTAGAATCTAAGATGGGATACAGGCGATAATTTATTTAAGAATAAATAAAGACTCAAACGATTTTAACAAGTAAAAATAACTTTTATTTCGCCTATTCAAAAGACATTTTAAAATTGCGATTTCCAAAATATAAAACTAAATTTTTAAGATTATGCATAGGTTTTTAAATATACAAATTTAGAGATTTTATAACTAACATGTTAAATAATAAAAAAAAAAAATATTTTAAACACCTTGAAGGTTTCTTTTTTTATGAGATAAATTTCAGGACTTAAAAAACCTTCACACTTCAAATGACCTTTATTAATTCATTTATTGCTGTTCCAACGTTTCCGATGGACTGTTCATATTCATGAAAATATCAAATATAACAACTATTTATAGATTTAAAAAAATGATTATAAGATAAAAAAATAAATAAGATAAAAGGACAAACAAACAAGCAAGTTTCTGATATATATATATATATATATATATATATATATATATATATATATATATATATATATATATATATATATATTTGACGACGATTCAATGAGTATGAAATAATTTAAAAATACAATAATAAAAAATTTATATAGGTAAGTTAGGTAAAAAGAAAAATCTAAAACAAACGACTGAGGTGAGCTCCTCACTGATGGTATTGACAACATTAATGAATAAATGTGACACTCTGAGCTCCTTCATAGAGATCTCATGGAAGAAGACACAATGATGGAGGGAGGATACAAAAAAACCTAAGTATACACGAACAGACGAGTTTGCAAGGAATGCTCTGAAAACTTTCGCCAACACGCCGAAAATTCTAGGAAAATTCTAAAATTTTTACTAACCTTATCTAAAATTATATATATAATTTTCCTGTATTTTTATCAAGGCTTTTTCGAACCTTTTCTGCCATTTCCAAAATCTTTCCAAAAAACCAGATATTCTGGCAGACTTAAAAGAAGAAAGACCCCAGGGATAGATAACCTACCATCAGAATTGTTCAAAGATGGGAGAGAAGAACTCAGAGCAAAGCTGTTAGATCTAATCCAGAAGATATGGGAGAAGGAACGGATACCGGAAGCATGGAACACAGGGTTGATCTGTCCTATCCTTAAGAAGGGCTCCATGTATGAATGTGGCAATTACAGAGGCATTGCACTTCTTCCGGTCACCTATAAAATAATGACTTATGTTCTGCTAAATCGGATATGTCCGTATTATGAAAACATAATAGGCGACCATCAAACAGGATTCAGGAGAGGGAGGAGTACGCTAGATCAGATATTCATCCTAAAACAAGTATTTGAAAAACGATGGGAAGTAGATCAGGACGTACACGCATTATTTGTCGACTTAAAATCAGCTTATGACTCAGTTGACAGAAACTGTCTCTGGAAGATCATGACTGAGCTGGGTGTTGCCGGGAAATTAGTGAGGTTGACGAAGGCGTGTACAATATAGCTGTCCTCGGAAGTAATCAAGAGGATATTGAGAGACTCGCTCGGACTCTATTAAAAGAAGCAGAGAAAATCGGACTACAGATCAATGTAGATAAAACAAAATACGTAATAATTTGCCGAAACATCCTCCCTAATAACATGATCTACGTGGACTCTTAAGTCATTCCCGAAAGTAGACAGATTCAAATACCTCGGCTCAACAATATCCTCGATAAATGATCAACTAACAGAGATAGACCAGCGAATAACAAGTGCGAATAGATCTTTCTTCTCTCTTTCAATGGTACTGAAATCCAGAAAAATCTTCAGAAATCTCAAAATAAGGGTGTACAACGCCGTGATTAAGCCAGTTCTGCTGTACGGTTGTGAAACCTGGGCTCTAACCGGCACACTAGAAGCTAGAATTGAAAGATTCGAAGGAAAAGTTCTAAGTAGGATAACAGGACCCATATGGGACCAGAACCTTGACACATGGAGGAGAAGGAACAACAAAGAACTGCTGAAAGAAACGGATCAGTCAATATCTCATGAGATGAAGGCAAGGAGGTTAAGATGGGCAGGGCATGTAACCCCTAGGAATCCATCAGGACACCTTTACACGACAATGAATGCCAGAGTAGTAGGCAAGAGACCATGTGGGAGGTGAAAAACCAGATGGATAGATAGGATAAACAAAGATACGGCTGAGTTTCATGCCGCAGATCTACAAGGTCTGTAGAGCCAACCGAAAATA